GTTTTCTCCAAGCTGGGTTCAACTAAATTTTAACTTTGCCCAGGATCTCCCCACTGGTTTCAGGAAAATAGACCAAAAAATTGAAGTCAATTATTCTTTAAAAAAAATTATGATGAATGTTTCTTTTTTTAGGGGTACAGGATGTAGAAAAGGTTGAAACCCTGATAGCAAGCTATGAAAATTTAAAGAAGCTGTCAATTTCAAATAGGGTTTTGTTTATTTTTTTAAAAACCCAATTGATGGACTTAACACAAGAAAGCAATGTATAGAAGAATCAAAAGTAGATCTACCTCAAAATTACACATAGTAAAAACATAGCTCATTCTGTCTACTCCCAAATGAGGAAAAGTTTTTGAAACTTCACATTACACTAAATTACAGTGCCTCTAATCTCAGGAGAAGGCTGGTGAGTTCTGCACAAGAAACTGTGATAAACAACTTATTGTCTTCCACTTCCAGATACTAGTAATTCTCAATCACTGCCACCAGGAATGTATCCCATGTGCCATGTGTGGCCTTCAACATAAAATGACCAGACCCCATGACATCTTGAAAACGACACGTGTGAGTTATTCTAAGGAATATTAGAAACTATGTACATGGATTTTTCCTACATGTGTTAAAATCATATTGTCCCCATGGAGATTTTACCACCACAGATATTTGATTAGTATAGCAAAATCTGGATAATATATGTGATCAACAAAATTTATTTTGTTTAGAATTTTTTGTTTAGAATTTGGTTGCGCTCAGTGTTCTACAAAATCGTTAGCCAAACTTTTGAGTTGTGACTTAAGATATCACTTACTGCCACATATCATATTTATATCATAACTTGTGCCTAGCAGCATTAAAAAAATGGAAGTTCATTTATTGTTGATTATCATGGTTTTGTTTATGTTGTACGGATGATAATTAGGATGAAATAGGCATTAATTGGCAATTAGGCATTTTTCATTCTCAACACGACTTTTAAAGAGTCACTGATAAACCCATTCAATTTATTTAGCTTTGAATTTATGAAGACTGCTGTGTTAGAGGTAAGGTTATGTGATCTATTGAGTATTTTCAAAGGACTTAGAAAGATTTTAAATTAGAAAATTTCATTGACTCCACTGCACCAAATATTTGATTATATTTTTCTTATCCATCAAAATTATCTTTATTAAGCTATGGTATGAAATTTTTCAAACATGTGCTTTGTACATGTAATAATTCTTTTAAAAAATTACTGCCTTTTTATTTTACTTGTGTTTGATATATTGTGAAGATCTGCTGTTTGGGAAATTGCTGTATCATAGGTAAAGATCTGCACCAGATTCTTTCATGATTGTGATGCTCAGTGATTATGAAAATACTCTTCTGTAAGATTCACTTGCAGTGTGCAACTGTTAATATATAACTATGAAAGAAAGAGAATTACCTTGAATTTAAGACTACACTGGATGAGACTGAAAAATTTCATGAACATTCCCAATTGTATTAAATGAAATAAGCATTTTTTAAATATTTGTTAAGAAATGTTGCTAAAAAGAGTAAATCACTTTTTTTTGTTAAAAAGAAATGTTTTACCCTTTATCAATTATCAAAAATTATTATTTTGCAAAAGCTTTGAAATCCTGAGTCATCAACTCCAAAATACTAATTTTTAATTAAAAAAAACAACATTTTAATCAAGTAAGAAAATAAAATTAAGTATTTCTATGACACATTTTTTTATCTTTTGGAAAGAATTAAGCAAAATAACACATTTTCTCATTTCGAGAGTTTGAAATAACTTTTTTGTATAAGGTCCACCATTTTAAATTTAAGTTTTTAAAAATATAAATAATAATCAATGAAAATTTTTACATGCATGTTTTTATGTTTTATTATTTATTTGCATTAACTTGTGATTCAAAGACCCTTTTTTAAATAATCTTCTTGATCTTACCATCTAAACTTTATACAATGACCAAGACAGACATATTTTATTAGGTTTCTTTAAATATCAATAATTTTAAAAACTATTTATGTTGTTATTGCCTGCATGTAAAAATCAAAACAAAGTTAAGGGGAGATAACTCTTTAGCATGACAAAAGTAACATTAAAACATGTGTACATTTTGCACTGCCAGAATGTGTAGTCATATTTAAGAGCCCTTTTTTTTTTGAAAAGAAGTGTTTTTTCCGCACTGGGCATTTATGTGAAAACCTTAAGAGCCTGTTTGTGACTTTATCAGCACACAACATTAAGACGTAATGACTTTACCAGCATACAACATGAAGAGTGTAATTAAAGACGACAACCTATATTGAAACCTTTAATTTATTAAATGATTTGTATTGATTTTAAAAAAATCCATTTGGAATTGTACAGCTGGCGCCCTATAAACTGGCAGATGATGTCTGAAGTCCTTATTGGACCAATGCTGCAGATTATGGATTGAGCAGACAAGACTTCAATGTTTTTGACTTGAACATGATAACTTTTGGTTTGGTTAAATGTTAATTCTTGTTTTTTATGAATTGCCATTTTTTTATAATGCTATATTTGTTTATCAGAAACATAAATGAGAGGAGTGGCATTAATATACACTTAGGAATTCACCTCTGATAAAAGCAACACTTCCACTATGCATTCATGCTTTACATATTTAAAAAATTATATGGTAATATATTTACAAGGACAGTTTTAGATTCAAATGGTGGGCATTAATAGTAGACCATTAATAGCAGACCATTTTACCTTTTAAAACAATCATTCATATATTTTAAAGTTATTCTACAAATTGTTAGGTGAGCATATTAATAAATGTCTACAAAGTGTTGTCTGACTTGTCAATGGGAATCTTCATTTACCGGTATAGATTTTTTTCAATGGATGAAGACTTAACTATTATTAAACTGCCATTTAGTCTATTGACTATAACCAGATAACAATTTGTGTTGATGAATGGCTCAAATGAATAAAACAAACTCTAAACTTGTATAAAATAAAATGTAAATATTTGGCATTAATATCTTTGTGTTGCCCATAATTCTGTTCTGTATATATTAAATGGTTCAGCTTTGAAGCCTTTCCATATATTTGGGCTAGGGTAAAGTTGTTTTAAATTAGTTATTTCCTGTTCAATGATGTGCTTATTTCTGATATTTGCAAGCAGATCTCAAATTATTTAACCATTCTTGCACTGCATTTGTATAGTTACCATATAACTGTAAAGCCCATCTTGTTATATGTTTGTCACATTTCTGATTGATTAGAAGAATGCACTTTGCTTTAATTCCTCATTGCTTTTTATGGAAGTGTGCTGGTGCAGAATATTTGGCAAATTTGACCATTATTTTATTTTCATTTGTGTTTGTTACTGTACTCTGGTGACATATAGACATTTCACTTTGTTACTGTTTACCAATGACACTTAAACATGTCATGTTAACACAGAATGTCTCTTGTATATTTAGCTTGGCATTGAGTCTCTGACTACTACCTCTGGAAACTTTATAAAGCATCTTTTATATATTATATTTTAGAAAATAATAAACCTGAATGTGTTCTTTGATCTAAGTTCTTGGCTTAGAAATGGAAGTTATGGAGTTAAAAATCTCATGGTGTAAAAATCAGATAAGATGACCAAGGATAGTTCTTTCAGATATTAAAAAAAAAAATATCAGGAATCAGCTATTTTATGACCAATTAAAAAAAAAAGAAAAAAAAAAGCAACCTTATAGTGGGGTCATTATTTTATACAGAAAAAAAGATTACATTTAAAAAATAGATAAACTAATAGCAAGTATAAGTGTCAAATCAAAATTTGAGTAAGGGGTCATCCTGTGTCAATAGCTTGTTTATATTTTAATAGCAAAAAAAAAAAATTTATGACCAGGACACTTTCATTGTTGCATCTGCACATGAGAGAACAATGACAGAACATTTGAGAAGCAGATACACAAATAGGTTACGTCATCAATATAATTATAATTTTGCAAGTTGCAAAAGTTGTAAAAAATTTCCAAACATATACTTGTCGCAATTTTTTTTACAATAATTTTTTGTTTTTCAAAAGTCTTAGTTTTTCTCTAAAATGTTGAGTAGTGATTCAAGAAAGTGATTTTAAGCTTATTCATCGGCTCATGGTCTCACAGAAACACCCGTTATTATCTTTATGTTGCAGATTTTTTATTTATAAAAACTGACAGCATTAAAAAATACTTGTGCCATTCTCTATTAAAGTGCAACTTGTGACTGGTATTCAGCTACTTGATCAGACAAGTGTTGCTCTCAATAACATGGGACATTATGTCATGGCACTGCTCATCGCCAGAAGTGGTCATCAAAAAATTTCTCTTTGCTTCTTTTTAAGAGACCATGTCAGTAGTATGTTGCCATTATATTACTTCTTTAACTAATATTTGCAAATATTCTTATTGATATTATATGTGGTTTTGGGCTTCTCAAACATCTTTCCCTAATGTGGACAAAATTATTTTATTAAATTCTTTTACCTCAGTGCTATTTTTTAGCCTTGGAGGATTTTACACATATTTTTTCTTTACTTAATCATTTAAAAACTCATTTGAGAGGTCCTGATTTAAACATTTCTATTTCATCTCATGCATTCCCATAAAATTCATCTTTTATTTTAAATTAGTTCACATGTCAAACCAAGCATTTCAGAAATTAACTTTCAAATGTTTCTGAATAAAATGTCTGTTCATTTGTACATGTCTTTGTTATGCTTTTATTTTTAGAATGTTGAAAAAAAATTTAAAAAATCATTTACAGAGCAGTTATTGTTTGACAGAATCTTGTTGGTAAAAACCTCTCTGTCCATCAACATACTTTTCACGCTATCAAAACACATGCATGACTTGGATTAGTCATTTCATGCTAACTTGTTTCAAATTTTCCCTAACATTAAATATATAATAATATATAATATTATATTATCCACTTGAGAATAATATGTCAATGGTTCAATAAAAATTTTATAAACACACATAATAAGTGAAAAACACCTGAGTTCATTTGCAATTGTTTAATATTTTTCTTAAACTCTTGTTCAACAAGGCAAAAAAAGTAATATCCATGGCAAAGAGTAAGATTCTATCATTCTAGTCCCCATAAATATGTGGATATGCCTTGCCCTGGTGAAGAAAGTACAACAAATTTTATATATTCTCATTTTAAAAAGGTCAGCATATTGTTAGTGCTCAGAAAATGCCTTTGTCAGAAAAAAAACAAAACAAATAATGATCTAGGTTCACCTAAGACAAGTGCTCAATCATTTTCACAATTGAATAAAATTTATATCAATTATATTAACAAATATGCATTTTTAAAATAATAAATTGATGGAGCATTCACTCTATAATTTCATTTGTTTCAGAGCTCACATAACTGTTTTACAGTTCCATCTGACACCTTAATTGCGCATTAATAAGTAGTCTTATAATGGTTCTTAAGATATAATTAATTAACAGAGGTTTAGTAATCTTTGATTCCACATAATTTTTTTTAATTTGTACAGTGCATTTGAACAGGGATGGCTAACCTGAGGCCTACAGTGTTGAATATTGTGCCCCAAAGATTCCTATTTATCACAAATAAACATATTGGTTCATAAAATTTGCAAAGTAATTGACTTTAAAAACTTATTTACATTAAATATCATATTTCATTATGTATTATTCTTATGCATTTCTTTTTGTGAATTAAGAATTGATAAATAATTCAAAAAATTATACAGCATTTTTAGTGGGTGTTTATTTTCATATAAGTGTAATGACCCACGGCCTGCAAAAGGTTTACTCGCTATTAAAGTGGCCAGTTAAGCCTTTTGGGTTGGCCACCCCTGCATTAGATAAAGTTTATATCTTAAACTTAAAACTTGAGTTGTTATAAAAATATTAATGCCTTATATTTTTATCAAAACTTTCTTGCATAAAACTTAGTCAAAATAGATGTAAATTAGGTTCTTATTTCCTCCAAACCTGTGCAGTGAATTTGACAAAAAAATGATGGCCACTTCTCCCTATTTAACACTATTTAATGGCATTAAATTAGGATATGTTCTATATTTGTAAAAAAAAAAGAAAATGGTACTAAGTTTTGTAAAATTTTCTTTCAAAGTAAGTATAAGTAATTTCAGTAATGCAACTAATATTTTTACATACCCTTAAAGAAAGAAACACTTCAAAATTAAATGCATTAAACTTGAAAAAAAAAAAAATCAGTACGACAAAATTCTATCTGATTATGTTAAAGCAAAATGTTTATGTTAAATAACTGTTAAATAACATTCAAAAAGAGAAAAAAATGCACAGAAATTTAGTCAAGACAGGATTAAGATTTATTCACCAACATATTTTTTAGATACACAAAGCTTAAAGTCACTGTTTTTCCCCCTCTATAAACATGCATGGGGGGAATCAATACATTACATTTAATGCAAGCACCATTTCATTTTAGGCTCTTATATTAAGAATTTGTGATGCCTACAGACCGTTTATATAAGCGTTTAATGCTCAACCTAAATTATTTATTTCAAAGCTGCAGGAATGTAAAACTGCTAATGAAAGGTCAACAATTGAAAATTTCCATTAATTATAATGTTAACAAGAGTTTCAATTTTTACACATTTTCTTTCCAAACCGAATAATGAATTTTGAAATTTTGCATCAAAGGTTGGTTGGTGGCATTCCTATGTCAAGTAAATTATGCTAGAAAGGCACCAGTCAAGCTTATGTGTTTTAAAAGCAAAAATGTATGAAACGATTTACAATTTAAATAATTTTCTATAAAAAAAATAATCTGCATTCAATGAAGTCTTCAAAAAAGTGAACAAGGTTTTCAACAAAAATATCAATATCAGCATCAAAATTTTAAGCCTTGGGTTTAGGCACTTTTAGGAAACCAATTCGGCGCAAATAGCGAACAATGAAAGGTGTGGCAGTCAAGGTAGTGGCAATCCTTACAGGGGCAAACACTTTGTGAACTGCATATGCCACAACAAAAGTTCCTGTACCAGCTGCAAGCTTGTTTTGTAGTAGACTGCCCCCTACACCCGCTTTAGTCAAGAGGCCAACAATATCAATGCCACTGAAAAAAAATATGTAGATTATTTTATTTTTAACAAAATAAATTAAAATGAACAGGTGTGTGAACCCATATTTTTCAGATATTACTAACTAGAAGTTCAGTTAATCATGAACAAAAATTTACATTAAATTAAATATACATTTTTAGATAAATTTAATTTAGTCTTGCATTGTAAAATCATTATTTAAATCAGTCTGGGTAACTGTGGTAATACTTCTTTCTGTTTATCGTATCAATCATCTAATAATTTTGTAAAATTTGAACATTTTATTATTAAATGATATTATATATTTAATCTTCACTTATATTATTATATTATAAATCTTATTTATACAGAGTTTTTTCAGTAACTGTGGCATGAAATTGGTTATTATAACCAACTGGACATTCAGATATACTACTACTACAATCAAACTGCATTTAGTCAGTTTTATATTGGATTAGGTTTTTATACAATTTAAATGCATGTCTACATTTACGCAAACTAAGCCATTCAAGGATACTGAGCATTAGGCACATCCATAACCCCCCCCCCCTCCTCTTGAATTTTTCTTAAAATTTTGAAGGAGAGTAGCCTCAGCTTAAAAATTGCTTTTCATTCCTGTCATTATCAATAGTTCTTACCTTGAAACAAAATTAGGTTTTTATACAATTTAAATGCATGTCTACATTTACACAAACTAAGCCATTCAAGGATACTGAGCATTAGGCACATCCATAACCCCCCCCCCTCCTCTTGAATTTTTCTTAAAATTTTGAAGGAGAGTAGCCTCAGCTTAAAAATTGCTTTTCATTCCTGTCATTATCAATAGTTCTTACCTTGAAACAAGGAGATAGAAAAATCCAAGGGACATGAGAGATATAGTTATATGAAACACAATGACAGTGCTCCCATATTCCTTGATGGCACGCTGGAGCTTCTGTCTTTGTGTTAGCTGACCACCGGCGGAGGTCTCTGTATTTTCACCTTTTGCTGTTGCTTCTGAGGGAGATTTTGGGTTTCCTGCAGACGAAGAGTAGCTTCTTTGCTGTATTTTGCTGATTTGATAAGCATAAGTTGCTGACTGGCGAATCATGTTGTCTTGCTCAGCAAATATCTGATGGTTATAAAAGTATGAACATTTGAAAACATAATTTAAAGGGCAGAGTTCTTTTTTAGGAAATTTTTTTAAATTTGTAAAGGTACTTGCACATATTAAACACATGGGGCTAAACAATCCACAAACCTCTGCTAAAGTTTTACGACCAGCCTTGTAGCCACTGTACTGCTCCATGCAGTCATGCAGACCAATCTTGTGACAATTTTCTAGCCACAACTTGTACTGGGCACAATCATATCCTGTTTAGATGATATTGTAAGACAAACTTATAACTTACACAAAGACAAGTGATGGCTCTATTGCTGCTGCAGAATTAGTTTTGATTCCTTCAGTTGTGATTTTATCCATTCTTACAAATTTATTTAATGTATGTTCTGTGCACAGTTTGGCCAGTGCTTCAATGTTCTGAAAGTGTCATCTTACAGGGCTATTAATAAGTATTTTGCAACAAAGACATAAAATATGTTTGTGGAAAAAAAAACAACAACTCTGCATACTCTTACTTAAGTCTTCTTTAACTTTAAGAGCATAGTATGGGATTCCATGGATATTTTTCTCAGCTAATGTTTGCAGCTCACTATGGTAAATAATTTTGAAACAAACAAAATACTGAGTTTATCAAGATGCTCTGAGCAGAATGACATAAAAAATGATATCTTTTCATTGTAAAATTCATAAGAACAGTAATCCAGAGCTATTACCTTGTACACCTTGTGGACAAGGTGAATCAATAGCAGGGAAAGCTGACATATATTCTTGACATCCTTGGACATTATCTTGTCTCTCGTGAACATATGATGAGGAGTCATCAGCGGGTCCAGATGAAACTTTGCCCTGAGATCCCTGAAAACTGTCATGAGCATTGCGATGGTTATTAGCTGCTCTGTACTGCTGAGAAATGTCAGCAATAAGTTTTTCCTGCTCTTCTAGAACTTCTGATAAGGTTTTCCTTCCAGACTGTATACCTTGCAACTGTTCATTGCAGTTTGCAAGGCCATATCTGTTCATGTTAAATGGTAGTAGTGGTTAAGTAAAAAGTTAATTTATAAATGAGGGTTAAGTAATAATGGTTACTTGTTTATGAGATAATACAGTTGTTTAAAATAAATTTTTCATTTATAAACCGATATATATATATATATTTAGGTAAAACAATATTACTACAATATGATCTGTCTATATTATAGCAGAAAAGAGATGTTTTGTCTACAATTTAGTAAAAAGGTAAGTTTTGTCTACAATATAGTAGACAAGGGATAAGAACAATGAACAATTTTTAGTTAACATAGTGAGAATTGCAAAGTCAAAGAGATGGAAAATTAAATTATTTTTTATGATATTAAGAAAAATACCCATCAAAATAGACAGATCTAGATTTAATGTATGCTTGCTTTTCCTATTCAAAGTAAATGCCTGATTATTTAAACTATCTAAAATTAAATAAACTTGTAACGTTATGAATTGGGGTAAGGGAAATCACAACAAATTTAGCATGAATATAATTATCACTTCTTCAAGAATAATATATAAATTTAAGTGTTGTACCGTCTGCAGTTGTGCAGCCAAAGTTTGTAATTATCACAGTCGTCCCCTTGAATTCCCTGAGGACAGGCGTCATCACTGAGATTCAATGGATTCTTTGGACTTTTGTTGGCACTTTTTGTACAGAAGCAGCAGTATATTCTCTCTGAACTTAATTGAAACTTTCCCAACCCTGGGATATAAATTAAAAGGCTGTGTAAATTAAGTCATCAATCTTTTTCAAAAGCTTACTATTGATTTTCCAATACTACCTTGTATAAAGCATGAGTAACAATCAATGTGTGACATAAAAATACATATTAATATGATTGTTATTAATTTTACATATTTAAAAAAATTCTTCATTAATAGTTTCCTTCATGTACGGCACTGTAAGGGACCATCCATAAATGACATCACACTATTTCGGTCACAAGTTTGTAACACAAGTTAGACACAAGGTACTTTGACAGAAATTTTCAATATATCATATTGCCATAAATGATATATCATTTTAAAGGTATTAAAGGTTAGCTATAAGCTTTGCAAAAACACCAGTTTCATCTTTCCAGCTTTTATAGAAACAAAGTTATGATTTTTGTTGTGAATTTTGTATACCCCCTTCAACTTTTTTTTATTTTAAAAGATAATGCTACCAAATTTTCAGGGTACATTCTCAATGCAATATACAACACAATGAAGAACAAAACTTTTACACAACATCAAGACTTTGTATTTTGGATAATTTTATTTGTGGATATATTAAGAAAAAAGTGAATAGAAAAATTGGAAAAATCATTATTTATGAAGGAAAAAACTAAAAAATAACATATTTATTGAATTTAAAGTAATTTTATTTAGCTTGTGTTCAATTTTAAATCAATTTATATTTATAAAAAGGTAAGTAGCCTCTTTTATAAATAAAATTGAATGCATATAATGATAAATAAAATTTACTCAAATAAAAATCATCCATAAGTTATAATGCTAATCCATTTAAAAGGTAATGAGATGTTCTGCCTGTCATTTTTTACTTAGAGTGCTCTTCAAACTACTTTGTCTTGTGATGAATCTCAAAATCTCTCCTTTATAAACTTTCTCTTTGCCATCTATGTCCATACATGCGTTATTGTAGATGAAAGTGGAAGGAATTCTACAAAGGTCTTTAAAAGAGAATTAACATTTTCTCTTGTACCTGAAAGAAGCTTAGAACTAACATCTAATCATAATCTTCAATCTACACAATTTCTTATTTCCTTTTTAAATTTTGTGTTGATTTAAACTCATTAAAAAATATTATTTGATATATTAGGCTAAATAATTGTCCATGCACTGCTTTTCTATGTCCTAATAAAAATGTAATTACTACCATGATGTTGCTTGAGTCTTGTTTATTAATTTGATGTATTTTAATAAAACTTTTATGTATAAACTAAAATATATATTATCTCATTATAAACAAGACTGTAATGTCAATAATTTTACAATTATCTGATTCTAATAATATAATACAGCCTATATAATAGAGACGCCAACATTGTAACATTGTATAAAAATAAAGGGGACAGAAGTGATTGCAATAGCTACTGAGAAATTTCTCTCCTTGGCTCAGTTGGAGAGACTTTTACCCGACTTGCCCTCAAACGACTGCAGATACTGGCGAACTGCATCTACCCAGGGTCCCAGTGTGGCTTCCGGAGTGGGCGCTCAACAATAGACATGATATTCTCGTAACCCCAAATGCAGGAGAAATGTCGTGAACAGCATATGCCACTTTATATTGCTTTCACAGACCTGACAAAGGCATTTGACTTGGTAAGTCGGAGAGGCCTTTTTAGTATCTTGCAAAGAATAGGTTGTCCCCCACAACTGCTCACAATCATACAGTCATTTCAAAATAACATGCACAGCACGATAACTTTCAATGGCGCTGTCTCTGAGTCATTCCCAGTCATCAGCGGAGTAAAACAGGGTTGTATACTGGCACCACACTCTTTTCCATTTTCTTTTCGATGCTCCTTCAATTTGCCTTCAGGGACTGTCAAGATGGAGTGTTTGTCCATACCAGATCTGATGGTATGCTGTTCAATATCGCCCGCCTTCGTGCAAAGACCAAAGTAAAAAAGGTGCTGATTTGTGAACTGCTGTTTGCTGACGATGCCGCCTTAACATCTTACACAGAAGAAGGTCTTCAGGGGCTGGTTAATTGTCTATCACATGCTTGTAAAGAGTTTGGTCTTTCGATTAGTCTACAGAAACACATGTAATGATGCGAGAAGCACCGTCCCCTCCAATCATATCTATTGAAGGTCATGTGTGCTTAGTACCCTCCTATATTGTAGCGAAGTGTGGACCTTAGATACCAGTCAGGACCAGAAACTCAACAGCTTCCACCAAAGATGTCTTCGTCGCATTTTAAGCATTCGATGGCAGGACAAGGTGCCTAACACGGAGGTCTTGGAACGTGCACACATGTTTAGCATATTCTCCTTTCTTAGTAAGAGGCGCCTTCGCTAGTTAGGCCACATAAGGAGAATGGAGAAAGGCCAAAGATTCTGCTGTATGGAGAGTTGGCAGAAGTGACAAGACTTATTGAATGGCCACGCCTGAGATTTATGGACATTTGCAAAAGGAGCATGAAGGAAGCCAATATTGAAAACAACGAATGGGAGCTCATTGCCGAACAACATTCCAGCTGGCGAACAGCAGTGGTATGAAGGAGTAAAAAAGGCAGAAGATACGCAAAACAAGGCCCTTGAAACAAAAAGAACAATATGGAAGTCAAGATCTTACCAGGAATCAATATTCTCCTGCAAGAAATGCTTCCGAAATTGTCATTCTAGGATTGGTCTAGTGAGCCACTTGTTGAAGTGTAGGACTACATAGCTACTCCATCCTCTCACGAAGACAGAAGGATGCCATATATATAATAGCACTAGACTAAGTCTAAGACTAAAAGTAAAGACACACAGAAAGTAGGCTAAGTATTCGAATGTTACATGAACTTAATTATTTAAAATGTATATTTTAATACCTTATTAGATTAAAAAGACACTATCTTTAATTAGGCATGTAAGTGTGGTTTTAGCAATAATAATAGAATAAGTTCAATAAGTGAAATAGACTATAGGATTATAATAACTGTTGTTTATAATTATAACTGATATTGATATGTAGGACTAATTTTAGTAATATTCCCCCAATGAGTAGTGATTAGTAAGAGAATAACAATTATTATTGCTATCATAAAACTATTAATTATTGATTCCATTATGAAGAACGATAACTGGGTCTGGGTACCAGTACACACAATTTTTAACGTAATAAATAAAATTTAAAAGCAACCCTTGATCACTACATAAACTTTTCAAGTTTGGTTACCATCTTTTCTTAAATTTTGTAAAATTATTCATTTTAAACTTCTTATAATTATTTAGATATTTAGGGATTTAACAATAACAAATCATTTCATAATTGACATATAGTAGCCATTTCCTGCTTCTGAATGAAAAAAAAAAAATATTTTGGAGACATTTTCATACCCCGCCCACCCCCTCTCGATAGTGGGATGCATAGCTTTTTATAGACATGGTCAATAATTATAACTAAAAAAAAAACCTCTTAAAATGAAAGTAGTTTGCCTGGAAATAAACCTTATTTGCCTGGCATAACTAATAAAAAAGTATTTATGTGATTTATATACTTACCGATTCATTATAAATAATACTGTCCCTGATACGCAAAAAATCTCGTACTTATAGCATAAATCAATGTATCACTGGAACAAAAAAACAGATCTGCCACTGATGAGAAAAGCAATTATTTAATAAACAAATGTGACGTAGTATGCAATTGTCCAATGTTGAATGATGCTGTGTAGCCGTACGACATGGCCATATTGTAGAACATGTTCTTTCGACTTTTTTGGACATGCCCAGATCGATGCACCGAGTGGTTTTGAGGTACCTATAGACACTTAAATCACACATCATCATCACAAATTCGTGACATCCCCCCCCCCCCCCCAAAGCCCTTAAGTTTAAGACATATGATGTTATTTATGGAATGGCCTTCTTAATAACTTTTATTGTCTCAAATTTATTTCTTAATTACTATAAATTACCTGTACACTACACGTAAACAATTGAAAAGGATTAGTTAGAGTTAGAGGTGCCAGACGACTAGTCAAACAAATCTGTCTTTTAATTTACAAGAATAATATATTATATGGTAAATGTTAAGGACGACTGCCACTATTTTATCGAATTTCACGAATGTATCCCTAAATCGATCCCTATGCCTAACCTGAACCCTAAATCGATCCCTATGATGCCTAACCTGGCCTAAATAGATCCCTATGCAGATGCCTATCCTAAACCCTAATTCACTGCAACTATAATAAACACCCAAAAGACGCTGTGGCAGCTGTCCTTAATATTAGCCTATTATACTATATATTGGTAACTATTATATTTTCGAAATAAATTTCAGTGTCTAATTATAATACCTGACCTAGTGAATCAAGTGATCCTATCAGTGTTGAGAATGGAAGAGCAGAGGAGATTTCTGCAGATTTATCCCAGGTTTTCCGGAGCAGCAATAGCGGCTGACAGCATTGGCGTTTAAGAATTTTACACTTCGTTAAATTGAAATGAAAATGTTTTGCAGACGGAAGATAACCAAGGGTTGGTCGAAATGCTATATTATTCACAAGTCTGGACGCAGAAGACATGGTAAATTTAGCCAACTTTTACTCTACAACGTTACATTTATTGGTACCCCATTTATTTCGTTCGCTAGGCCAGCTAGGCACTCACTGTCTTTTATTTTTTATTCCAATAACAATCATTGGCTGTTAATAGTTTTGTACCATGTTCTAATATCGTGATTGCATACTTGCATTACACAGAATCAATGACCCGGAAGTTTATTTTGATATGCAAATATTCTTTCCAAGGGAAAGGACAGGATAGTAAAAAGGAAATTTAATTTTTATTTATTTATTACCTTATTATTAACCTGAAACCAGAAGCATGAAAAAAATTCAAGTAAATTTGTAGTTTTCCAAAGCTTTTAATTCAATAACTTTTATATAGCAAAAAAAATAAATAAATAAAAAATAAAAAAAATTAAATAAGTATTGCAATACATTTTTGGACCTATATATTTTGGTTTAATGCTATAACACTACATAACAGGAAGTACTAAGTGCACAAGGCCACTATTGGAATTGTTGCCTTGGATTCAAGATGGCGCATAAGTAATTTGTTAAAGCGAATACATTATTTTATTTGTTACGAACCTATCCCACTTGATCAAGATTTTTGAGCTTGACACGTCGCTTGAAAAGTGAAGATCGCATGGATGGCATTTACAAAAAAATATGCAATTTTTTAAACCGAATTTATCATTATAATTGACATAATCAAGTAAACAGTTGTCAGCACTGATCGCCTATGACTATGATATGGCATGCCCTATAATACTTATAGCCTATACTATACTTATACTATCAAATTTAGCCCTATGAAGAGGGAATGATAATTGTTCGGCTATGGCCAATGTTTATTATTTTATATCAAGTGTATTTTAATGAAATTTCAAAAAGACATGTCAACAAAGACAGTACAGAGCTATGACTATGGGGGTTGTGGGGAATATTAAAATTGAGTCTATTTTCAATTAGTATTGTCACTATTGAGTCTATTGCATTTCATATTTAACTCTTATTTTAAAGCCTTATTTATTTTATGATTATTTTATTATAGGTGTATATTAATGCTACAGTCTATAGATAGTGCCATAGCCTGGAAGTACAAGTAGACCTACATATTAAATGAATAAAAAAAAAATAAACATTGTTTTGTAGGCCTGAATAGGGGAGAGTTACCTTTACCTTTTTTTAAATCACCATATTAGGCCAATATAATTAAGTCATAAACTGATCAGTAAAAAATTGTCTATTTGGTAGATTCTATTGATTATTCATTGGGTAGGGCTACAGAGAGAACCAAACCCAACAATCTCAACTTAAGACTTAAGATGTCTGTAGGGCATTCTTTGCATTTGATGAATTGGTGTCTTTGCTGGATTGCCCTTGTTAAAATAATGAAGCCCCGCAAATTCCAAGAGACCTGCTGAACCAAACTGATAAGCTAGCACTAACACAAGAAACTGGGGGGCTGTACTAAAAAAATTCTGGCTGACAATTTGCTGTTATTTCAGGGAGCTTATAGGCCAACGAAGTTACAAGTGCAAGTAGTAGAGCAGCTTTCAATGTGCATAAAATTCAATCTATAAATATGAATAATTTTTTTTAACCTAATCAATATAATTTGATTATCCATAGGTACAGTTTGATAACAAATATGAACTACAGTATGGTATAATATAGGAATGACTGTATCAAATTAAATCTCATCGAGATGGCAGAAGATCCAGACTACCAAAGTGGCAGCCGAGTGCATGGCTGGAACTGTCCTTGGCACTTTTTACAGGTACTTTTTTGTGTCTTTAAAAATGAAAAGAAATTATTTTTTACATACATATTAAATATTTTATTATGATATTAAATTAACTGGTTAAAATATCTTTATTTTTCCTGAAATGTTGATTTTGCTATTTTTTTCCTTCCATCCCTGAAATAGGTGCTAGCTTGGACTGTCATCTTCTACTTCGTAATAATTCATTATGGATGTTTTATTCCAGCTTTAATCTCTTATGCACACATTCCATTATATTGTGTATCCTTTGCAAAGTAATAATAATTAAATGAAGAATTTAAATAGAGATAAATAAATATATGATATAAGCTTTAGAATTTATCCCCAGTTTTGAAAATACAAATTTAGGTTGATTATTCCATACAGAAAAATGTCAATCCGTATGGAAGTATATTGAACACTTTTATAAAAAAAAAAAGGGTTCTTAAATACTTAATTATTCCTTAAAGGTTTTTAGATTACTACTTTTTTTGTATTGGGCCTCATCATCACCATGTTAGCAGCAACCAGCCTTGACCCTGCAGATGTTGCAGTCAGAGCCAAAGGAGGCAACAAGCAGATGCCAAAAATGGACTGGTCCAAACACAAGCATGTTATTGAGAACCAGACCTGTTATTTGTGTCAAGTCTCAGTGTAAGTTCTGTAAATAAATTTGTATAACTCTTTTAAAGGGCTCAAAGTTAATGCATATACATTGGAACTTTAAAAAAAGTATGATACCTGTAGATGAAATTTCTTGTAGTTGTAAAACAAATTAAATACATGGATTATATTATTAGGCTTTTAAGTACTTTGGTTTCATTCAAAACTTTGAGTTGCACAACTTTTAATTGTGAATGGGAATTCCTTAACACAATTATATTTTGAAAGAAAGGCAGAATATCTCAACTTTTGTACAGATTGTTAATTAGAAATTCAGTTCAACTTTCATTTATAGATTTTGGTTATAGAAAACTTTACACCCCCACCTCAAGGTTTGTGTGTGTGTTAATTGCACTCAGTCTTCTGAAAATAATCACTCTATGTTTTTACAGTTTCCCAAAATTGTAAGTTGTCGAGCAGTTTAATTTGAAAGTAACTATTTGTGGACCAGACTTTGTAAAAAAATCCATTACAAGATATATTACTATTTTGGAATAGATGAAAAGTTGAAACTTAAACTTGTGTGAGTCAGGCATTAGTAAAATGCTAGTAGTCATTACAAAGTAATAGTATATTTTATCGCCTACCCCCTTACGCTTAACTTTTAGTACAGAATAAATTTCATGTAGGTTGAATAAGTTAACTTACATGCTTGGTGTTTATAATGATTATGTTAGCTTGCATACATGGTGTATACACTAAATAAGCCTAATTGCTTGCCTTGCGTATACAATGAACAAGTTAGCCTACATTCATGGTGTATTTAGTAAATTTGTAATCTTGCTTACATGATGTTTACTTGCAGGGGTCCAAAATCTAAACACTGCAGTTCTTGTAATAAGTGTGTCTCAGGATTTGATCACCACTGCCGGTGGCTGAATAACTGTGTTGGAGATCGCAATTATAAGTAAGATTTATTTTTTTTTGAAATATTTAAGAAATTTGATGCATTCTTCATTTTTCCTAGGCCAGTAACTATTTTATTTGTAAAGTGTACTTAAAACAATATTAAATGATATGCTCTTTTAACTGGGCTTTTTAAAAAATATAAATTTAATCTGTCTTACCAAATTTTAAAAATATTTTTGTATTTTTACTGCAGAGTTTAATATTCAATAATTTGTCCACAGGTGGTTCTTTGCAACATTGTTGTTTGCAATCTTGTCTTCTTCCATTGTTATTTGTATAGGATTGTTAGTATTCATTGCCTACTTCACTGACAAGTCCAATGGGAACATATTAGCAGCTTACAAAGGTAGGAACATGCATTCTGTAAGGAATATTGTTAAAGTCATATGTAATTTGACTCTACAAAGCTGCTTACCAGTATGCTGTATCAGATGTTAATTTCAGAGTCCTTAGGTTTGGTTTAGGTCAGCTTGAATGCAACAATTTTTGTACTTTAACCAAGTTAAAAATTGTCTGTTAGAACTAACATCATGATCATCATCTTTCTGTAAGTCCATCAAGGATCTCAGCTCTATTTTTCTCTGTCTGTTGCTGTGCTTTCAGTATCCCTCATAGTCATTCCCATTGCTCCAGACTCTCCACATAAAATCTATTTTCCCTTACCCTTATTGTCTGTTTGTGTGTTTCACATAAGTGCTTACCTTGTGATGCTTGAAGCATCATTGCTACACTGGTGATGCTTGAAACATCAGTGCGCAAAGAGGTTTGCGCATGCCCAGTGAAGACGTGAATTTGTTTACCTGTGTTTGTGATGAGGAATATTTCTTCGATTATGACATTATCTGTCCATCAAATTGTAAACAAATTGTGGTTATAGATTAAAATGATATTATTACTGGTCAAGGGCGTTGTTCAAAGTGACTGTTCTCAAAATTTTAAGTAAATCAAGTGATTTCAGAACCTGTGTGTATCATGTTGATATTCGGCGCCATCTTTATTTTACTGTCCTGCATTACTTCAAGCTTAAAATAGCACTATACCTGCGTGTGTGCTCTTTGACTGCTACACACCAGAGTGACTGGAGGTATGTTCACATACAATATTACGCTGTATACCATTGTGGTAGCGACTCTGGTAAACAAACTGTTTATCTATGATACCAAGAGACCAGAAGTTGTCGTGTCATCTGTAAATTTAGACCTAAGTAAGAAAACAGTTTTCCGCACAGCGGGGACTGGCCACTGCGTGTTTGTTGACATTTTGCGTAGTTCATCTCGAACTTGCTCTGCTCAGTTTCCCATAGGACGCCAAAGACTTGTGCTATTATATCTGGCCTGCATTCTCCTAGCCAACTCCTACTCTCCTGAACCCAACCCTGGACCAAGCATCGCTACGGGTGCTGGCTATCCTCCATCGCATACCCGCTCATGTTCCCAGTCATTACGGACCTGCGGTACTTGTGACCTTGCAGTGCAGTGGGAAGACAGAGGCGTTGCATGTGAACAATGTGGGCAATGGTTCCATGGTCAATGCCAAAGCATCGACACAGACTATGACAAACAGCATGGGGAAAATTCTGGCATGCCGTGGTACTGTGCTGTCTGCGGATGCCCGAATAGCCAGATCGTGTTTGACCTCCACAGTTCAAGGTCAGAATCCACCCTCCCAGATTTCTCCCTAAATTCCTCATGCACCACACCAACGAA